CTCTGCAAGGTGCTTTGCAAAGTTATTTCACAGGTGGTAACTCCTCTCTGAAGCAAGAAAGATCCACACTGCTGTTGTTACAAGGGGCACTGTGGGAAATATCAAATTCTTTGTAGAATAGAAAGGTAAAAATCGTGGTGGTTTTGAGTGTCTGTGATCTCATGGTGTATTTCCAACTGTGTTTAGCTCTTATTGCCTTGCAAATTCTCATTTCATTGATTGCCTCCAGCTTACTTGAAGTTCCCTCTGAGTTTCAACTGATATAATGCTTTCTCCTTCCTCCCCTAAATGCTGTGTGTTGCTGCTGTATGTTGTCATGTAATACTTCAGATGAGTATCTCATCACAAATTATGAAATGTTGGCAACATTTGTCAGTAGGATATGGAAGCTGCCCTTGAATGGGTCTTCTCAAACAAACTGAAAATGTATGAAATTTAAAGATAAAATCATAATGGGGCCAGACCATTGATTAATGTAAATCTGGTTACAGTTGCTGACGTAAATGGGAAAGTGCTGATTTACATCAGCTGAGAATGTGGCTGGTGAAATTAAAATAAAGGGTTTAGGGCGCTAATGATGCTGGTCTCTTAATGTAAGCACAGACTTTCACCCAAGATTTGATCGTGTTAATATGTAACTCTGCAGTGCCAGAGAGGTCAGGCTGTTCCAGACACTGCAACACTGTGGTACCTCCTACAAACAAAACAGGAGCAGAACCATGTATTCTTTAATTAAATCCTGGATCGGGTCTTCCGCTGGGGTGGTTTGGCATAACTCCATATACTTCAAAGGAACTAGACTGATTTACAGTGGCTGAGCACTTGGTCTTTTATTAATGTATACTTCTGTATATTGAAATTATGTAGCTTGCTTTTCGTAACCCTAAATAGTTTAACATTGGTCAGACAGAAGTTGTTCTAAACTCTATGAGGTAGTAACTTGAAGACCGTGCCAAAAAAAAAAATAATGAACAGGACAGTCAGGTTAATTAGAAGAATGGTGTATAGGGTGTTTTGGTTTTTTGTTTCTCTTTTTTTTTTAACTCACTGCAGTATAGATCTAGCCAAACTGTTTTTTAAAAGAGTGGCTTCAGAGCAGGCTAGGGTAGCTTGTGCTGAGTTTTTGTGCCGCTGTACTTGGAGAGCTTGATATATTGTGCTGTAGCCAGAACATACATTGGGCATCTGCAAGAGTTATCTCTTGTGCATTATGGAATACTATATTATACTGTATTGTAGTTGCTTGCATGTTTGCATGCTTGCCAGCTTCAAAATTAAAGGTGGTGTACACAGCTCATTTGCAGCACCCCTGTGCAGGTACTTCCCTCTGTTTGTTTTTTTTTTTTAATTTTCTTATATATTTATTTTCTCCTTTCCTCTTTGTCATTTGCAGCATCAGAGTGTCCCTGAGTCCTGGATGATATAGTTTATCTTTCTTTTGGCCCCTGAAGCAGATCAGGTGTAAAACGTGCCTTCAGGAGGCAAGGAGTCCCAAAGACATTAGCTATCCCGCCTCTTCCAGACAGACAACGATAGCCTAAACATCTGCCTAAGAGCACGTGGGACCCCAAGAAAAGATGCAGTATGCTTGCCCCCGCTGTTCATATCAGGTGTGGCAAAAGACTCTTCAGAGAGTTCTGTGCCACCGTGGTCCAGCATCTGCTTAATTTAGTCTGGGCTACTCTGTTCCAAGCTCCCAGAAACTGAGGTCTTGTCTATGCACTGTACTAAATACTTGTGGGTGTTTTATTGGTGTCATAGTCATCTTAGTGTTTCCATGTACTGATTTTTGCAGTGTTACATTAGCAAATGTAATATTGCACTAACGTATTCTTTTCACCTTTTAATATAGGAGGTACATTTGATTTAAACACACTTAGCAAAACAATGCAAGATTGTATTTTGTTCTGGTTTAGGCCATGTTTAGGTAGAAAAGACAAATATTAAGTCTTTGCCCAAGCTGGTCCCATCTTACAGTCCCCTGCAGTTTGCTCATTTAAGAACAAGACTGCCAGAAGGCTGCCAGAAATATTAATGACTCTTTGAGAGAGTAACCCAAAAGACAGACTTGGAAGCTGATGCCACAGTATCTATTATTGCCAGAAATACAATCCTTCAAATAATAAATGAGCTCTTAACGTCTGCTAGGTTGCTTGTTTTCTCAGTGGCCTGGTGATTGGGCTGCATGCAATAACATGATGGCCTTCTGAGGAGCCTACATCAAAATTAATGGTTTCATCAGCTTGCAGGAACAACTAAATAATTGGGCACACCTGGGACTATCCTAAAAGGCTCCTTTATGCTTAGCGAATGCTTTCTAATTCCAGTAAGGTGTGGATCATTGAAACCTGAGTGTTGCAGACTGGATCAGAGAACTTAGTTTGGTGGACTGTTTGGAGTGTGTGAGAGTTTGAGCATAGGTATCAACAACATAAGTGAGCATCAGGAATGGATAAGGAATGAACTTTTAGAAAAAGCGATATAAGGCTTTACTAGTTACATACTGAATACTTTATAGGGGATTAGCCTGGCAACCTAGCAGCTATGCAGAAAGGTGTAAGGGCAGCCTAAGTTAAGTAATTTCTGTTTTGGATGCAACCTGTGTTTGGAGCCTAAGTGTGAGGACCTGATGCTATGGAAGTAAATCAGTATTGTCTCAGCCTTCAGCAGCATACTCTTTAGAAAGTTACCCTATTTTTTCTGTATTCTGAAGCTCTCTCTTAAATTGCTTACATTGGGCAAATAACCCTTGATGGTTGACAGCAGCAACAGAAATGTTTTCAGATGTTGCAGTTTAAAGTGTGTTTTCTTTTTCTTCCTAGAAACTTGGTAAATTTTCATCTCAAATTATGGTGACATAAACGACCAGTTATGCTCTGAAAAATGTGCTTTGAATGTTTCTGCAAGAATGGCTGAGCTCCTAAATTACTTGGCAGTCTCCAAAAATTTCTTTGCCCCACCTAATAAGTTGTATTATAGCAACCTCTTACTCTCTTTCCAAACCTGTACTAGTAGGTGTGAATCTTCCACCTGATTCAGAGCACACTGGAATTAACAGCAAGCCTGTGAATTGCAATTATCTTAGGCATTAGGCATAGCTTATGTACAGTCTAGTATGAAGTTTCTCATTGTATGAGGCCAAGACAAACATGTATCTACAAAATAGATCTTAAGGAGTAAATACACTGCCTAGTAAATTGCTTGCATAAAGGGAAGGTCCCCAGCCACTCCAGGAGCCTGTTTCCTAGCCTGGTCCACAAGCACTGCTGGCACAATGCAGCAGTAACATCTTTCTTGCTGTCTCTCCTCTTGTAGAATTCTCTGGCCAAAATATCCCTTTGCACTGAGCTTCAGATCATCATGCCCCTACTGCTGCTGCTTGCTTCTGTTTAGTCACTGTGCTGTGCAAAGGCTAATTCTGCCTTCCTCTGTCCATGACCAGAGTAGGATTTCATGTCCTCTGAGTATCGCAGAAAAGAGAAGACTGGGAGGGCTACGCTGCTTACAAGGGCTTTTGAGAAAGGTGAGAAGCTTAAGTGAGTTGAATTCAGAATAGATACACTTCTCTTTTAGCAGACTTTGAGAACAGATTTTGTTCAACAGATTTACCTGTTGCTGTCTTTCACTTGAAGTGATTGTACATCAAGGAATGCCAGTTTTGCTTTTGTTTTGTTGGTTGCTTTTTCCCTGAGAGAGCTATTTTAGCTCCAGAATTTATGTGCTTGGTGCAGAATTTGCTGTGTGAGGTTCTTTGGGTTATGTGGGAAGTCAGATTTGATTATTTTAATAATCATTTTTAGCTAGTTTGAAATATCTGGTAGGTTGAGCACCCCTCTTGCTTTTTTCATTATATACAAGAGACAGATCTGGAAAGCAGTCCTGTCAGTACTAAATTAATTTGTGTGAAAATCCATGCAAAGACTTAAGGCACTGGAGCCCAGATCATTTTCCATAAATTAAATTAGAAGTATTGGTTAAGTTAGCACAGAGTGTGATAAAGCTGCAACACATCACGTCATTAGACTGCTTTACATAGTGACTGGAACATTGCTAATTTAAATAAACTTTGTACATCTATTTGAAAGCATATCTCTGTGCATGCTGGCTATTTAATCCTTTAAACTTTTATAGTGTTTTTCAGAAATGTAGCCAACTTGTTAATGCACGTACTGTGACTTTTGAATGTTTGTTTGGGTTTGACACCTTATTTTGATTTGCTAATTATGGATAATTAAAAAAAAAATCTTCCTAATGATTTTGGAGTTTGGGTTTATCCCTTTTTTTTTTTTTTTTTAATTTGAAAGTGTGCTTATAAATGCAATAAGGAATCCTAGCTAGGCAGTATTGCATAAGTTCAGTATAATGGCATTAATGTTGAGCCACCTGATGGCTCTCAATGCAGTGTCTGTACAAAAGAGTACAGGGAATAATGTTGGGAATTAAGTAGCCTATGTTTTATTCTGAGAGCTAAAAATCTGCAGTTCACCTCATTTGTGAGCCATTGCCCTAAAATGAGGATAGTATTCAGCAGCCTTTATAAACCACTGATGGATTTGAATGTAAAGACCTGTACAAGAGCAAAAGTACATAACAGCAGAGAGACCTAGAGATGGCATTTATTGTTAAAGAGAGAAGATGGTTTAATTGCCTGGGCCATGGTTATCAGCAGTAAGGACTAAGAAAGCAAGAACACCATTTGGGAGTGTTGCTTTGTGTCTCTAGGAACAACGGCTGAGAAGTCACCAAAGATGTCCATACAATTCTGACCTCTCAGTGGAAACCATACATTGTGCCATGCTGCGCTGTGGTATACTATGCTGTGGTTGTTATTCAACATGTATATGAACCTGCAGCAGTAATTATGTATGCTCTGTAGAAGGTGAAGCTGGAATGGAATAAAATGCGTGTTTTAAGAACAGGAAATTCTTTCTGCAGATACACTGCCCCCCTTGCTGGCGGTGGTCAGGGCCCCAATGTGTAATTTCTTTTTGTCCTTGCAGGTCAAGCCGGTTACTCACAGTAGAATCACTGTGTCAGCACGGTTTCGAAAACCACTTCAGGAGCCCTACACTATTTTGTAAGTAGAATTTTCAGTTAGTGAACTGCCATTTCGGGGGGTAGGGTGGGGCATGGTGTCTTAACTTCAGATGAGTTTTGTTTAAAATGCTCCTCCAAATTATTTTACTTTGCTTTATTTCAGCCTGATTGCTAACGGAGACCTTATTAGCCCTGTAGTGCGCCTCCTTATTCCCAGGAAAACACTGAATCACTGGGATCATATTCTTGAAATGGTTACAGGAAAAGTTACCCTCAGAAGTGGAGCTGTTCACAGGTATTAGGAAGCTGAATATTTGCAAGATACATTTGATATACGTAGATATGTTTTTAAAACTCCATAGGTAGATATAATGGA